ACACACACACACACACACACACACACACACACACACACACACAGGCACACAACCCCAAAAACATAAAACAACGTTAATCAGGTAAAACCCAGTAACAAAATCAATTAGCAAAGTTGTTTGTTTTCAGGCGACGAGTCGGGCGAACCTGACCCGATCCCATCCACAATGGGCACCCGGTATAATTGTATACACAGACAGCATAGGGACAAAGACGTGTATGCGAGTCATTCAGAGAGAAACAGATGCCTGTCCAACAGCGAGATAAGATTGCCTGTCTGACTGAACAGAAAACTGAGTAGCCAGGCCACACAACAGATCAGCATCACCATCAAGTAAAAGGTGAAGGTCATCCACTCAGGAGACCATCTGGCCCATCGTCTATCCTCTTCAAATCGACCCTGACCTTCAGATATCTCGTAGTCACGTGACCGACTATCCCCCGCAAGTTTTCCATTCCGACCCTCGCTATCCGCACTTCCTTCTCCTCTCTTTATTCCATTTGACACGTCATCTGCTTGTGCACCTACACATTCCGCTCCGGAAGTGCCGGTCGTGACGTCATCTCCGGGATTTCCCGGTTCCGGAGGTAGACTTGGCGCTTTTCCATTCGGGCCCTTTGAACTCTTGAGTCTTGCTTTGTGAGAGGCGAACTGGCGAGATGACGGGCCCCCAGAAACGAGCACAGGCGTTTTTACATGTCCAGCGTACTTGGCCGCCGTGGCTCGGGACAAGGCACTGACGATAAAGGCCCTTGCTCCAGACCAAACCCCGGGGCCTTGCAGGCGGTACTGAAGAAAAGAATAAAAAAGGTCAATTTTAGAAAGAGTTTAACTGCATTTGCAACACAATAAGGTCGTGTAACATTTTCCGAAGATTAGAGATGTTACGAGAGTAACAAACACAAAAAAAAGGGAGCAAGAGAGATCAGGGCGATAGATGTTTGATAGGAAAGAAGGAGAAAACCACATCAGAGCACCCGCCAACCACCCACGAAAAACATAGAATTTTAAAAAATAAATGAAAAAACCCCCAAAAAACACAACAACACATGTACATAAATGTAGAGATTACCACCTTGTTCTATGTGTATGTTTATGTATGTATACGTGTATAAAGAAATAGAGACGAATGTTAACAAAAAGCTCTGTAAACCTGTGCTGGTAGGCAAGGACCCAGGTAACACTTGAGCGCCAACTCTGGGTCAGAGAACATCATCTTCCAGAGGTAAGGGCGGGCGCCTATCTTGGAGGCGATCTGGTCCATGTAGTCAATCCAGAAGGTCTGGAAGAACAGTTGTGGGCATTTTAGATAGCTACATAAATGCAATCTATCATTATTATTATTATTATTATTATTATTATTATTATTATTATTATTATTATTATTATTATTTTTACTACTACTATTATTATCATTATTATTATTATCATTATCATTATTATTATTATTATTATTATTATTATTATTATTATTATTATTATTATTATTATTAGTATTAGTATTAGTAAGTTAGTATTAGTATTATCATTATTATTGTTGTTGTTATCATTATCATTATAATTGCTATTATTTTATTATCATTGTTATTATTATTATTATCATTATCATGATTATTATCATCAAGATTGTTATTATTATTGCTATTATTGCTATCATTATTTTATCTTATCATCATTTAATATTAGTGTTACAGTCCACTTCACTGGTGGATGTGGTGGTATGGTAATCTTGATAATTGGGTGATGGAGTAGTGGATTCAATTCTAACTTTAGATCTATGTTTTGTTTTGTTAAGTAGTTGTTGTTTTTTGTCTTCGAGATCTTTTAGTGGAAGAGTTTATTGTTTTAATGCAATTAATGCAATTAATGCAACCATGAATATTAAAATAACAAAGGACCATGGCCACATCTCACCTTGACAACCGATATAAAGAGTTTTTTTTAAAAAACCAGATCAACCCTACTTCTTTTAAGGTAGGTCTATTGTTTGAAATAAGCTAAATATCACTTGGTTATCGGTTTTTTTATTTTTTGTTTAGGATTATTCCACAACCTTTTGTGTACCAAAAGACATCAAAATTGTGGTAGTTTTGAAGTCCTAAATATTTTTTTCAGATTTAATTATTACCAAGGGGTGTGTTTTTCGTTTACCCTAGCAATGAAGGTTAACAAATTGTTCCCCCCAATTTTCCATTATGATTCTCATTCCCAAATACGGCAAAAGTGCGAAATTTTCAGTGTCTAGATGAAGTACACAAAGGGAAGCCACTCTGTCAAACACCAACAGTTGTGGAAAAGTGAAAGTAAGTTGAGAGCAGAGGAAAATTGGGGTTTTTGCAGTAATTTGGTAGCTTTCATGCATGATAACTCATTAACCATTTGTTGGATTCCTTTGAAACTTGGCATGCTAACTACTTACGTATTGTTGCTTGATTTTAATAAAAATTATTTATGTACATTGATATTTTCTACCTCCATCACCCTTCCTGATTTTTACAAATGGAGGACATTTTGTAACAGATTACGTAATGAAATTTTTCTATGCCATAAAAGCTGTCGTTATAGGCCTAGCCTCTTCTCCTGGGTCCTAATTTTTAAACACATTCATAGAAGCACACAGAGAAATTTTAATTGAGATCCGAGCAGTTTATCAGAGTTACGATGTTTACACTGCAGACTGCATCATAGATTGCGAGAGCTGGTTTTCAGATGCAGTGATGCCCCCACGGTTGCCCATACCACGGGATAGAAGAAGAAGAAGACAACGTTTTAAGTTTTCCCACTATATAACCTATATCGGCGGCCATTTTGGATTAACGAATCGAGAACCCCCCTCCCCTCCCGCTTTCATTATAATCATACTTCAACATCAAAGTACAAGGGACTTCCATAGGAATCAACATTATGTTCAATTTTCTGGAAAATTGTGTCCAAACCATAGACCTACCTTAAAAATCGATTTAATGAAAGAAACAGAAA